GAAAAGCCGGTGGATGAAGACAAATGCTGAATTTCTGTTCACAGAGTGTGGTCGTGTCGAGCTTTTCAGCGAGGCTGACATTCCTGTTAGAAGCGCTGGCCGCGTTACGCCCGAAAAATTGAGGCCTGTCAAGAAAGTGTGTGTCTGTGCCTTATTTTCTCAAGAAAGTAGAAATGCAGAATTGGTTTTATGCTTACAGCAACACTGTTCCACTCACACGGCTGTGAAAAACGCATAACGAAACACTATCCGGTTCCTGCTTGACTCCTCGCGACGTGCCTTTACTATGGTAAGCCTTTGAATCAACATGATAGATTGGGAAACGCCTGTTCTTTGAATTTCTGCGCATGAGGGAAACCATCCCAATCGGCATATCATCATGCAACCCGCCGGCTTTCCTGCACTGGCGCGCTCGCCGCGCTCTCATCCAGGAAACCGCACAACTCTCACCTCGCCATGCCTAATTCTTGTCTTCTCGCATGACCCTACCCGACTGCGAACATACTACCCCGCCCGCTCTACTCTCAATAAGGCCCAACTATTGCTCATCCATAATCGGCAGGCCCAACGTTAGTCTATTGGGGGTTTGCCTCGCCACCCGCAGAACCCAACTCCCACGCAGCCTGAAACCAGTCGCCTTTTTCCCGGCCCCCCGACCCCCCTACCACGATTCCAGTGGTAAAAACGCAACTACTAATTCACAATAACAACTAATCCTGAAAGCCTCTCCCATCGCTTTTTCGACCGAGCCTACCACTTCATACTGTCCTCGCTGTCCTGCCTATCCCTCCGAAGGCTAAGGCCTTCCAGCTCGCTCCCATCTCAGTCCTACCTTTGGTCCCAACTGTCTCCCTGTCAACTGCATCCGCGGCACACCATGACCACACATCAGCGCCAAGATAAGAACGCCCTGTTCCATCCCCCGGCAAACACAAATTACACACCATGTCACCCCCCCTCCTACTTGCACCTGCGTGCACAGCACCAATCTACTTTTCCGCACACTACGATCACTGCACCCCTCTCCACCGTCTCGCCCCCCCCCCATCACCGAACCATGAGCGTCCTTCTCCCCCCCCACACCCGACCTCATCCCCCCCATATACCCCAACACAACACGCTCCTGTAAGAGCACATTTGCATCAAACACTACCTAGTGCTTTTTTACTTCGTCTCACCCACCAGACAAACTCTCTCATACACTGTGACACCCAGGTTAGGGCACGCCCAGCTCCCTTCACCACGCACCCTCCCCACCCAAACAATCTGATACACTACCCAACACACAAATACTCACTCTGGCTCTGTACTGCAGAACTGGGGACTCTGCCCTCCCGACTACCGCCGCAATCAGCCCTACGACATACACCCGGACCTGACACGCAACCCCCACGCGCGCCACAGCCGCGCGCCCTCGCACCTCCCCTACTCTAGCTCACTACACTTCACTACGAATCGAACGACAGCCGGACGGCTCGGTCGCGCACAAGGCCGCTATCTAATCCCCTCGTCTTTTCTCTGATACCACATATAATCAACATAATCGAAGCGATGTTCCACCCCCCCCCCCCCCCGCCCACCCGCCCTCACACAAGTATGTTGTGCTGTCCTCGCCCCCACCCACCCGTAACTAGAACACGATTGCCCTTCCTGGTGTACTGCGCCCCGCGCCTTCAAACTCATGGCACCTGCTCTAGCGTGCTCAACCCTAATCTAAACCAGGCTAACATACAAGGCCAAACAAGACCCGTCAAGCAAAAGACCTCGAAGTCTCTCCGTATAGCGCCTTGTTTAGCTCCACAAAGCCAATGAGCACATGTGAAGAAGCACTGACTATAGAAAAGAGAAGCTGCCGTGAGACTCAGCTTATGCGTCCAGAAATGAAAACGAGTACGTGGCGCATTCCACTTAGATGAGCACCTGGCACCTCTGTGGTACAGCTTCCATTCACCACATGAGCAGAAGGTGTACGGAAAGCCCACCGAACTTTCTAGATGAAATTTATATAAGGAAGATCCTCATACTGACGGTTGGAATTTTCGCTCTACTTGAGCTACAGCAAACACTTCGTGGTCCTAGTTTTGAGGAAGAGAAAACCTTCTAGTTTCTAGCGCCGAATGGACCCCTTCTGCATTACGCCTGTGCGAAATTATTGCCCTTGAAAGATGAAAAATGCTGCTTTCATAAACTCTTCGCGTTATTTTTGTGATTTTCCCGACTGGAGAATGTTCGAATGTTCGCTGTGATTAAGGTACAGCAAAGCTGTTGTGCTCATTTACAAGAGGAAACTTTCCATTTTCCGATGCCCTGTAGACGTCCGTCCTTTGTTACAGCTACATCCTGTTGAACACAGCAGATACCTCCACACACTCCACAGTCACTAAGGGGTGGTCGTACGACACCCCTTTCCAGGGAGGCGGGTATTACCAAATCCTCGATCGGCGACGTGATGCTTGATCCTGCTGGGAATACCGCCATCTTGTACGCTGAGGAGGCTCTGCACGTTTGTTAATCGCAATAGATTCCTTAATGTTGCTCTCGAGTTTTTTAGGTGGAAAACTTTTTTGAAGGCGTAACCTTTCGAAGTGGCCCTCATCTTTAGAAGGCAAAACGCGTTTCGAGTCTAGGAGCTGAACAGTACCCCCGATAAAGAGTTCGGAAATCAAGGGGATAGTCCTGTCATGAACTCCATGTTCATGATGTTTTTCCTATGTCACGCCTCGCGTCACTACGGGTATATACTCTCCTCATCATTACGGACTGTCGGGGCGTATCAGCCAGTAGGAGTGCGCACACTGTTTGAAGCCGTTCTCAGCCTTTTCGTTGAAACGCGTATGCGACAAAAAGTGGTAGAAAACGAGTAATACGAAGGATATAATACAGTAATGTCACTTGCCCGCTTCAACAACTGGTGCAGAAAGACTTTGGCACCGCGGAAAACGCAGCCGCACTGACCCGCCCCGACAGAGTAACGCCCCGGAGGGCGGTGACAAGGGGGTTGTCGTCGGACGGTCGGTTGGACGGTCGGTTGTTTTCTGTCAAACTGCTGCTGCTTGTTGCTGGGATCGTTGCTGATCCCTGGCCTCAGCGCTGCCGAACGAGAGGCGGCGGTAGTCACTGCGGAGGCAGTGACTAGTGGTCCACTCGTTAGTCAGTACCCTGAACGTGCGCTGGCATAGGCTTCTAGCCCGTCGTTCGGAGTTCCCATGTCGACCACTATAGGCGGACCCGCTCAGGATTGGGTAGAAGTAGAAAATAAGTCCAGTTTCAATTTCAAGGTCAAGGCAAGTCAAGATTGATGTGTAGGATAGTAGGTTACTTAGATTCACTGTGCTTGTAGAAACAATAAATGATTTTTTTAGGATGTTATGTTATGTAGCAAGAAGGGGAATATGTAGAACCACCACATAATTTACATCTGGGGAGTGATGCCCTCAGAACATGGTGCATCGGCCAAATTAAGATTCGGTGTAATGCCTCAATCGAGCTGTGGTTTGGCTTGGTGTGTCGGCTGAAGCACGATTCGGTATGATACGTCAATCATTTTTACTTCTCAAAAAAAGGAATAGCGGGTGTTCAGTTTCAGTCAAGCGTCATCAGAAATCGGCTTAAACTCAAGCCATAGGCAACTCAACTCCCTATGTTTTCCCAACCGTAATGTCGCACGATTGATTATGACGTTCTCAAGAGCGTCTACCAGAAAAAGGAAAACACACCAAACGGAAGCATCCTTAGACCAATAGAAATGGCCTGTCTAACGCCCATGCACCTTCCCTTCGTTTCCTATCAGATGCGCCGTTTAGGGCCCAGACTGCGCGTTTGTTCCGTACCCTTGCACGGAACGTTTCAAGTGCCGTTGATCTCATTTAGTTTTTTTTCTTTTTTTCGTTTGTCCCGTTTCACAGGTACAAGGAATTCACTCCATACCGCGGTATGAAAAGCTCTGGCGAGAAGGCAACTCGGAAAGAAAACCCGGTGGTAGTCCGACAGACTAGCAAATGGTAAGATACCTTGCAATATTTATTTATTTGTCGGCAACATATCACATGCGTCTTTATTTCTCTACGATTAATAGAAGGTCTAATTTCGCGTTGCAAGTCAGAAGTCAAGTTCGAGAAGGTAACTCGAAAAATCCCGGTGGACGACCGAAAGTCGTGCCAATAGATGAAGTACCCTGAAGTCAGCAATTCGAGTATACCTATCAAAGAAAAGAGTCTTGATCAATTCAGCGTAGGTGCCCCTCAAAAAAATATCAGTGAAGGCAGGCAATTGGTTAAGATCGTCAACAAAGAAAAACCGGGAAAAATCTTGAACAGCAGACAAGAACACAGAGGAAACCCCAGATAAGCGCGTCTTTAAACATCGGCCTTTTTTTGAAATTCCGCTCTCGTAGGGACTCGTTCAATAAGATTGAAAGCCCAAGATCACGATTGTTAAACATTCAAGCTCAAAGAGCTCTCGAACGATTCTCAAAACATCAGACTAGGATGTTCAAAGATGCTGAGCCTCTCCAAAGCGATTCACCCCAAATATAATTAATAGCTGAATGATCACGCAGTCTCCCACACAATCCCACATAGCTCGCGGATAATCTCTCGTTCGAATCCGTTAGGGTCATGGTGGAGCAGCCGTTTACCCTGTAGAATTTCAAGATCAAGTTAACTAGACAACTCACGACTCTCACTCGTTTAACGGAAGAAGCTTCAAGAGTTCGAGGAGCCCTGGACGTTCCCTACTCGTGCCCACGACTTAGACTCTTCCTCAAACTCGTCAAAGAATTTGGTCGTCAAAAATCTCATATCAAAGCTTGAACAGCGAAGGGAAGACATCAGCGAATGTTACGCTGAATGCAGTCAAGCAATCAATGAGATCACTCAAAATCTCAAAGTAGAGATGGAAAAAAGGGAGACCCTACTTTCTCAGCGAAGGAGATGGAACTCGTAAACTGAAAACGCGTTGAGTTGAACTTAGTGCCAACGGAGTCACCTTCAAGCAGGACCATGAACGCAGAAGTGGTCCAACATATTATCAAGAACAACAAACGTCAAGTCAACAACCTCAGCTCAGTCAACATCCAGCCCCAGGAAGCTCCTGGACACTAGAGCGACGCCTTTTTGGCAACGAGCTCAAGATACCAGACTTTTAGGGCAATCCTTCGGAGTTTGACTCTTTCTGGGAATTGTTTGAAGAGCTGGTACACAAGCAACCGCATTCACACATAAAGAAGTTTTCAATTCTGCATGCAGTTGCGCTGCAAAAGGGGACGCGGCAGGACCTTTCAAAAATGATACAAAATATAGGAGCAGGACTTCTCTTTCAAAGTCAACTGTAGTTTTCACAAACACATTTTCAATGTCACTCGAGCGAATACGCTCCCTTGGTTGAGGTCAGCAGTAACATAAAATGGAGAACTTCTACTTTCATTCGGCTGTTGGCGAATATTGTACACCGCCCAAACAGCCGAAAGGATGTCAACAGGTCGCACTTCAGTCATTCCAGTCTCACATCAACCAGTGCAGTTTAATGACTCACAACTGTACCAATACCACAACTGTCAGCGCCAAATTCAACTCCATGCAATCGGAGCTGTGTTTACAGGTCACGCATGACACTCTTCAAGTGCATCTGATGAAAATTACTGTAGAAGAAGTTGTCCTACGATGTCAAAAAGAAACACTCTATTTCACTCAAAATACAGAAACTCGAGTTCAATCCCGCAAACGGTGCCCACATATGGGGTCCTGTAAAGGACCAAAATGTGCTAGCATTCAACGGATACTCTTGTCGAGGAACTCGACGTCGCTAATAATTTCACAGGACTCACCTACTGTTCTGAGTCCTGTGGAGGATGGGGATGTTCCTGTGGTTTTCCGTCCTCAGGATGCCTCTTTTATAGGATTTACCACGTACCCACTGACAACAAGGTGCATGAAGTCTTTCAATGTTCCTCGTGGTATGAGACAGTCAAACTTAAAATTGAACAACCGACTGGTCAATACGATCACAGAACCTTCACAGGAGAGATCAAGCCATACACAATACGCACCATGGGTTACGTTCAATTGGAAATACTTTCCTTTTCAATTTCGCCGATTTCAATTCAACATAAAAGGTTCATCACCGATAATCAAACAACTGCATACTTGGATGATGACACCACCTTTAGTTATGCCTGTACGTCAAAACCGTCAACTACCAGTGTATCGAAGACACTTGCAAATGCAACCCAGCGGAAGATACGGTGTTATGCTACTGCACCCAAAACGACATATCTCAAACGCGCCACTTAGCGAACGTACTGCCGCTACCGATTCCGAATGGAATAGTAACAGCCGGCCCTAAGAAGATACCCCAAATTCACACAACCGCTTTTTCAGTAGAATTAGCCATAACTCTCAATCCAAAAATCCTTCACATAGCACAAAACCTACTCGATTTCAAGTGCAATGTCGTAAACACTGGTTTCAGCGGCTGCTACAACTGCTTCAAGGGGGCTGACCAGTTCGACTGCTGTGCCCGCCTCAGTTGCGCAAGTAACATGCGGCATGCGCCAGTTCGTACTTACATGCACAAGAGAAGGGCACGTAAACAAGAGTCAAACTGTTTTTCAACCACGCACGCGTCAAAGAACAATGTCGCGTTCAGTGCAGTTCTCACACTACGATCCTAGAACTTCAAGGAACGTTAAATTATATCAATGGAGTAAGACCGTTCTGGAAATATGCCAGAATAGGGCAAAACACATCTCAACGACGATTCACATTTTCAAATCGGTTGGGACTTTCCCAATATAAACAGTCCTACATCTATACTGCAATCATTCTCATCAGCCTGCCAAGCGCCATCATTATCAGCGCGACATATCTTTGCGCTACCAAAACAAAAGGAGCTAGCGACAGCTTCGATGCCTTTTCCAGTCTCATACATTCTCCTTCCAATTCGTCTTGTCATACAGCTAATTAGAGTTCTCTTCAAGATGCTCAAATTTTCGTTCGTTTACCCCTACGATTTTTTGCCTTGTTACTTTGACGCTATCCGCTTCCATGGTAGAAGTCTTGCTCACCGTCCACGCACTCAGTCGTCGCTATTATCTTTCCAGGTTTTTCTTTAATTTTCAAACAAAACAATGCCCACGAGTTCGCAAAATAGGATATTCATTAGGCAATCTTTTTACTTTTCCTTCCCTTGTTCTGCCGCTGGTTTTAAGCTTGCTATTACGTTCACGGCGACAAAGTAAGATAGGTAGGCGCCTATGGGTTCTTCCATCTCCTCGGATGTAGTTCGACGTGATAGTATTACATAATGGCCGAAGGAGACTCTCATACCACGTCTTTCTTTCAGCGATGGCCGATCAGAACGATCCCCGTGAGGTCGCGAATGACGAGGTTCACGAAGGCGTGCAGGCTGAACGTGATGAGCCCGCCCCAGCGGATCAGGAAGACGATCAACCTCAAGCTAGAAGCTCAACCACTTTGAGTCGACCTCCGTGCTTTCGTACAGCCGCAGCTTAAGGACTTGGAGGAAGAAGTATCGGTAATTCACCGCAAGGTTAATCGACTCATTGGAAGGACCGACGATATTCCGTCCATAAGGAACAGAATCAACAGTGTCTCAGTAACTACCCTTGATTAATTAGTTTCGGTCTCTTGTCAAAACGCAGTTCAACGTTACTTGACATTCAAAATTCTATACTCTCCAATTCTATACTCTTCATTTTCGAATTCTTCAAGATTTCAATGTCAATTTTCTTTTTTTTTTGCCGTGCAGCTCCAAACACATTTATCACTTTCTTTCATTCAGCCTACAATGCGCCCATCTTTTGCCTTTAAGAGTATTCTTTAAGAAAACAACACGGGCGCCTAAAAAGTTCAAAAACGACCATCCACCGAGCACACGGCCAAAACCATCCAAAGCCTTTCGACGAGATGAGGTATTCCCTCAATAGTTCACAATATTATACTTGAACCATATATAAATATCCTTACCAACACTCCAATAGTATCAACTCACTTCAGAGTCTTACTCCATGTCGTAGACCAAAGAACAGTCGGGATGAAAACCGATGGAGCGGACCTTCAATGAACTGGAGCAGCTCTACGAGCAATTGAAGTCTTGCTTAAGGAGTTCCATGAGCAAACGGAGCAGCTTCGAGAACTGGCAATAACACCACCTCCTCCAAGAAGCCGTTCACCGCAGCCAGGC